TTGAATAATATGCTTGAATTCATTTTGTAGACTTTTCCATTACAGTATTACAAATACTTATTCATAATCAATTTTAAATTAACTCGCTAAAGTTTTTCTTCCACATTGATAGTGTTTTTCAAGGACCTACAGGATATAATAAAACTGCAAGTCCAAGAACGAATTCCTTCCGGCTTGTCATAATCTAAAATGTATGTTAATATTTTGTTACATTAACATGTTATAAAATTTTAAAACTGTTAATAATATGTGCTTACTTGCATTCCCGATTCAATTTAAGTGCTAATTTGCTTTATTAAATAACTGTACCACACATGATTTTATGACATTTTTAATTTAAAAATTAAACGTTTCAAAACTTTATTAAATTTATAATTAAATTAATCGTGTAGATAAGTTTATAGTAAATAAATAACTTACGAATTTTTTTATTTGGCATCAATGAAACAATAAAAATGTATTTGTTAATTAAAAGATTTTGTAAACAGAAATATTGACAAAAATCATTTTATCTTCTATTTAATACATTTTGAGATTACATTAATTTGTGTTTTAACAATTAAATAAAATCTAATGCCGCAATCGTGATAATTTAAAATAGTTAAGTAGGATAATATAGTAAAATAATTGAATATGATGAATTATAGATAATATGCATCTTTACATGCAGTAAATATATTATTAAAACTGGATTAAAAATTTTGGAAAAATAGAAGGTTTGGGAAGATAATCTGATATAAAAATCTTTTTTGAATTAATGTTAATATATGTACATTGTAAAATATAATACAAGATTATTATTTTCTGGTATAAGATGAAATTGTAAAAGTATATTCTAAGTAAATAAAAAATCAAGATAAAAATGCAGTGAGTTTATCCTCCCTCGCAGTGACTAATGCTTTCAGTTATTGACAAACAATTCAGGAAGCTAGATAATATCAAATATTATCTTATCTATGCGTAACATATATATATTGAACGAATAATTTAATAAACATGAACTTGCATAAAGAAATGCGTTAAGGTACCGACAAATATAACTTTCATATTAATGATATCACTCTTAGCTAATGAAAGATCAAACGACATAAAAAATCTTGCGCTGTTCAGTAAATAAAGAGTGAATAAAAATATATTTTTATATTAAAAAGAAAATATTAAAGAAAATAATAATTTTTTATTTATAATAATCTTATTTTGATTTAATAATGATAATGATTTTTTACCTCAAGATATTTCAAATACCATAGAATGCTTCTAAGAATAAGATGTATATAAATAAATTATTCTTCAGAATTACAGCTGAACTTTTCAGAATTTTATTTTACTATATAAAAATAGTATTTCAGGAATATACTTTTTTAAAATGTTTTTTTATCAAAATTAAAAAATACTATAATACCTTAAACCATTGCAATATATAAATACGAAATGAAATAGAGTAAAATTCTTTTTTAACAAATAATTATTTTCTTTGAAAGCATAGAAAGAAAGATTATTATAATATTATTAAGATGTTATTTTCAAATAATAAATTACGAATTAAAAATATATATAAATTGCACAAGCAATTATCAAAACAATATATATGTCAAAATTTTACTTTATAGCTAAATGTTATACAATTCAAATTTTCATGAAACCAATGAATATTATATTTTATCTAATTTATATAAATGTATATAATGGACGTTGTAATTAATGTATAAATTAATGCGAAATTTGTAATTAATATTTATTACATATATAATATAATATGAATATATATTTATTATTTAAATTAAAATATTACTTTTATAAAGTTGAATCTAAAAAATTATCTGTAAAATAATAATATATTTATTTAGATTAATATAAAAAAAATTAATATAAAAAATATAAAATATTAATACAAAAAATGTGATTGTCGTATATGTATAATTTTATGAATTGTCCCATATAACCACCATAATAAATTTACCATATACCTTTTTAAATTTCAATGTTAAAATATACTAGATCACTAAATATATATTATGTTATTTTTTTGTAATGAAATTATGATGAAAAATTTTTTACAAATAATAATTTTTATATTAAAATCATTTAAGTGTACATATTTTTTTTAATTTGTACTTTAGAATGTATGGCAGGTCACTATTTATATTATTCGATTACTTTAAAATTAAAAGAAAAACTAATAGAATAAAAAATCTTGTGTGAATCATATTCAATCATTTCTGGCATTGCCAATAATTAACATTTATAATAGAATACCAAAATCTACACAAATTTACTTTAATTAGTAGTAGTTAATCAGTTATTTCAGTAAGATATCCCGATTTAATATATTTAGAATGATATAGATTTTATTTTTAATATATTTATGCTTATACTTATTTATTATATTCATTCATGCAAAAAAATTTCAAAATACTAAAAATTAATAATTACGTTCAGACATCGCATCAATTTAGAAATAATTGAATATTTTATAGGTCGGTATTATGAGTGCAAATGAAAGTTAACTTCTTGAAGCATTCATTTAGGTCATAGCCACAGAAATTATATAAAGTTATATAAGATGATCGTGAACAACAATTTATTCAAAGTTATATTAATAAAATACATAGTAAAAACAGTAGTTGAAAATACAATATTTTATACTAATCTAATAGAATAAAGGTAATCGTTAAGATCTTATTCAAAATTTATGATATAATCTTTATTTTTAATATATCTTAAGGAGGATAATAAGGAGTTAAACAATATAATATCAAATATAATTTAGATACATTTCAATAATGCAAAATAAGCATATGTGATAAGCACAATTAAATTCTAAAGATAATGGGCTAGCTTATTATATTTTATGTAATATATTTATAACAAATATATTATAATAGAAATTATGAAAATCAATATTTATACTATTTTTATAACTATTAAGTTTCGTGCAATATTTTGAACTATAAAAATCACTTTGTGAATACATTAGTGGTTTCAGGTAAAATTACAATAAAGGATACAATCAGCTTATTTGAAAAATTAACATGAAAAGATCACAGAATGGCATGATTAATATAAAAACCGTAACCTTTCATGATCTTATAAGAATAAACTGCAACTTACATATACACAGGAATGCTAAAAAATAAAATTCAACTAAGGTAAGCATATATAAGAAGCGCTTAAAACGAGAATGGAAATAGAGAAAATATTTCTACATAGTAATAAATACATATTTCAAAAGCGATCATCATTTAATGATTTCGAACAATGATTTAATGAATTCAAACAATGATTTAATGAATTCCAAAAATCAGTTAATATATAGCTTTATAAAAGTTTTCAATATGTGTATATATTTGAAAAAATTGCATTTGCAAAACTTAACGAATTGGAAGTTTTTAATACTCGTTTCTAATATTAAAATATCTCTTCTATGAGAAATATTTTATTAGCTCTATATTTTTAATCTTAATTTTTAAATATACAAACTTCTTTGAAAATAATTTAGATTTAAATAGTAGTCGATATGGTACATATTTTTTTATAACTTTGATTAGAAATGACACATAATCTCTAATTAATTCTTAAGGTGTTAATTTATTTTTATTCTTATTTTATTTTGACAAATAATCTTGATTGATATTGATCTGTATTAAATTATTTAGCTTCATTACATACTTTTTAAACTAAGTAATTTAAATTATTGTAATATATAATGCATGATGCAACATTTTTCTAATATTCACAATAAAAATTTGTCATTTTTCTTTTTCATAAAATAGCATATGAAGATTAATGATAATCTAATTTTAAGATAGATATGTGATTTACATATTCAGTCATTTACATATTCATTAAAAAAATTATTATATATCCAATATTATTGTTTTATTTTTTTTTTAATAAAATTATTAAAATTATTGGCTAACACTTATAAAAAAATGCTTAATACTCACATTCATAACATGTAAATCTTGATCTAATAATAAAATAATATGACAATTGGTAATAGTTAAAAATTACTACAATAAAGAATTGCTTTTACAATACATTTATCAAGAACAAAATTAATAATTGAAAAAGTAAGCATATATAATTATATACAAAATATATTTACTAAAGTAAAAAAATTTCGACAGAATTGGAGTTCACATAAATGATTCTATCGCTACTACGTAAGAAAAGAAGGGCTTCAAGTATTGAAACACATGATAACGCGAGTTTCTTTCTCTCAGGTCGACAATTTTAATTTAAATGTTCAGATATGTGTTGTCTCGCGCCCGTGCACAGTAAGATACATTAGGGTGCTCAATTAAGAATAAAAGCGCTCTGACAGTGCACTTGCGGGCAAATCCCCCATATAAAGCCTGCAGCGGAGGAAATGTAGAGTACGTACAAGTAAGAAGCTCAATGACAATGTGGCACCCACGGTTGCGAGGAGGAAATTGACAAAGGGGCGAGTGAAAAGTGAGCGAGAGACAGAGTAAAGGATCTTGTATCTTTCTCTTTCCAGCCTATGGATCTCTTTCTGTCGCTCCCCTTCTCCTCATCACCCTTTGCACGTAGAGAGCGAGCGATTAAACGAAACGCGGTTGAGTGCCTCATGAGGGTGGGAGTATGAGAGGGGTCGGGGTGGAGCGGTAGCAAGAGATAGAACTACACACATACACACACATGTACTGACGTGAACATATGCATATATATATCATTTGGACCATAGTTATATACTATATGTGAATATTTTGAGTGCATGCGTGTCGCACGCGCGCGTGTGTGTTTGCGAGAGAGCAAAAGAGAGAGGGGGGGTGTGGGACAGCGAGCGTGAGGGGGCGAGATGGCGAGCGAGAGAGAGGGGGGAGAGGGAGAGTGAGGGAGAAAGAGAGAGCGAGAGAGAATTAGCTAGAGGGGGAGGAGAGTAAAGGAGAATGGGCTGAGCGGAGAAGGCAGTGAGTGATCTTGTGGATTCGTACGTGATCGGTTGCTGCTGCTGGTGTTCCGTCGCTGCCATTCAGTCGTCACTAATCCAGAGCCACGTAATGGCTTGCTACCGAGCACACAAAATTCTTTCTTTCTTAAGCGCGTTGACATCATTATTATTGTAATTTCTTATTACTGGTGTTAGTTTTAATCATCGTTCATAATTTGATTATTCTGGAATACGTGTGTGTCTTTTTGTCTTTTGTTTTGTATCGTGTTTGTGAATTTCGGTACAAAAAGAATCCTTTAACGTAGCTGCAAGCACGCGGAATCACTGCTGCGATCACTTATATAAATTTGTATGCAATCACTTTAATCAACATCGTTTTGACATTAAAGAAACTATTTTGTCCCAGGAAAATTAATAACTAATTTTTAAATGATTATTAACCACAAATAATTATTCAGATTATTTTATTAAAAAAGTTCTTAATTTTATTTATGAAGTTTGTAAAAATAAATTTTGGGTGTAATTAATAATTGCGATGTATAAATTTCTTACTATAAAGTAAGCCGCGATAAATATCTCCATTAAATATTTAAGGATTTATTATAAGATATTAATTAATAAAGCATAAATTCTAAAATTAATTAAAATAAAATTTTTGCTGTATCTAATTATTATTACACAGACAAATGCTACTGAAAATTGGCTTACATTATCAAAATAAATAAACATTTTATACAATTGCTATAGATATTTCCATTATTTTTTAAAATTAAGGAATTAATCCATAATGATTATTTTTAAAAGTATTAAAAACACTTAAAAATGAAGGTGTTTACTAATTTTATTAATATGATAATCATTACTACTTGAATCTGAGTATTTTTTAATATATATTGACAAAATTTTATCAAATAAGTATTTTAATAAATCATTTTTATTAATTAAGTTTATTAATTTATTAATTTATTAATTTATTAATTTAATTAGTAAAATCTGAAATGATAATATTCATTATTATCTTCTTTTATCAAAATTTTTAAATATTTTGGAAATATAGCTCGTCAGGTGTAATATTCCACATTGTTGAGAATAATTTCTAATATGCAAGCTCGTCGATTCATTTGTAGCCTGATAGAGTAAAGTTTATAAATTTAATTTGGTGGTGATTCCGAGGTTCGCCAATCCGCAAAAATATAAGAAGAAAGGGTTAACAGCCTTTAAGAGATTTTGTATAGTAGAAGCGCGTGGCTTGTTAATAAAAAGAGAGACGGAAACAACCGCACCGGGCATGTGCGTACACGCGTGCCCGTCGATACGAAACGCTAAGTTTTTGACAGTCCGATATTTCCAGCTCTTGGATTCCTTATATAATATATAAAAATAATTGATAATGATCACGTACTAGTTGCTATAAATTAATTTTATAAGCATATAAATAATTTTTTCACGAAAAGCTCAAGGGAGCTACAACAGTAGATGACGGAAATTTGCTTGTGAAATGAATAAATATATTATTGTTAATATTATTTGTCTTTAGCTATAATATTATCGTAAAGCTCATAGTAAAATAAAAAGTAATATATTGGGATGGTGTAAATACATACAATGCATTGTGTAGAATGTATTTAAAATCTATAAAGTAGAATTTTTCAGTAAAAATTGCGATGATAATAAATGAGACTAGCTGGATTAAACTAATAATCATATAATTTTTTCGTTCTTATTAAGAAAACTTTATTATTATAAAGAGCAGATAATTATCATGTGCCATTTTTATATATTATTTATACATTACATGGTCTCTAAAACATGTTTTCCTTAATATATAAACCCACATTGGTTCCTGTACCTTTAAAATATCATGTTCAAACCTATTTAAAAATTAAAAAATTCTTATATGAGATGCACAAATCAATTATTGGTTCAACAATCAAATAATTGACAAATCACACTTATGTGTATACATACATAAACGCACATACACGTACATACGCGCACATATACTTGTGTATATATATATATATATATATACACAAGTATATGTGCGCGTATGTACGTGTATGTGCGTTTATGTATGTATACACATAAGTGCGTATACATATATATCATATTTAAAAACTTAAATTGAATTCAGTAATCAAAATATTAACAGATATTTTATTTAAAAATTGTTATGTGAATAAAAAAAAAAGTTTTGATAAAGAGTGGTCATCTGTCATATTTTTAGATATAAATAAATAGTCGCAATTAGATGAAAATCATATGAAGAAGAACTTAATATAAAAACAAAGTGTAAAGTGAAGAACGCAATCGTTCTCTTGACAACAAAATTTTTAGTCTACCAGCTCGATTGAAAAGAAAAAGAAGACAGGACACAAGTATACACTCCAAGAGCGATATCGCAAACAGGTTTGAGCCCTTGATACGACAGCTAGTAGATAGGAAGAGAGAGAGCCTGCAAGGCACGAATGAAGTTAGAGTCCAATGTTATGAGAAACGCGTTATTCGAACGCTGCCGTTGTCGCTGCCAACGTCAGACTCTCATCAGTATTTTCTTGATATGAAGCCGTTGTTCTGCCTTACTTTGCTTCTCAGCAGCAGCATCGTTTGGAATAGCAGTACCTTCTTCGTTCAATCACGAAGATATACTAATGCTGAGTGTGATGAGTGCCAAGAGGCAAACGGGAGCTTGATGCAACGTCGGCGACGATACACTGTTGATGAGCTGCTCAATATCAAGTTCCCGAACCTCATCACGGGAGACCTCGACCTCGACATATGCAAAGCGGGTTAGTTATACGCCCAATTACGAATTATGACTATTTTGATTACCGATTGATATTTGTAAACGTAGAACACTAAATATGAATAATACTTAATACTTTATGGATGCTGATGTATCGAAAGAAAAAGGATGAACTTGAATAATTAACAAAAATTAGTAAATTTGATACTAATTAAGTAAATTAAGATAATATTTAAAAAATAATTATACTATCTTATTCTTATTAAAAATAATAACAAAGATGAAGTTTTAATTACCAATCTTATCACAACGATACAATTTAATTTATCTTGATTCGTTATTTTTGCTATATTAATCGATTTGAAGACGAGCATCTAAATAAATGAATACTACTCGTTTAAATTATTTTATTTAGATTTCGTGTTTTTTTAAAATAGGATTAAAATTTTATAAGTTTTTTTTCATTTTTTCGTTTAGAAAGCCTAATAAACTTTATCCTTAACTTATAAAAATATAATATTAAATATATTAATAGATTAATCTCAATATTTTCAAATACATAAAAGTGAATACAAGGGTATTTTTTAAATTATATTCATTTCAATTATTATATATTCTAAATAATTATTATTGCAGTTATCGTGAAAACGTGATGATTAATAATAAATTAGTATATAATTACAATATTTACTTTTAATTTATAATTAATTTAATTTATACTTTCGTATTTAATGATAAATTATAATGAAAAAAATAAATCAATTAAGAATGAAGATATTTAAAAATATTAAAGTAATGTTACATTACATTACTTTTATATGTTTTCAGGGTGTATTAATTTCACACTACCCACTTATATACTTGATAATTTATTCAAATACTTAAGATTTTGAAATACATAAATAGTTTTTTCTGAATACAATGGATAATTCATATTTTAACAAATGATATTTATATTTATGCATTCTAATGAGTTCACTGCAATTAAAAAGGTTTAATTTTCAATTAATTTAATTAATAAATTTTATATATTAATTTTATTTTCATAACAGTAATTCTTGAATTATATCTTCGATATTAAATTTATTTTTAAATAATATTTAATATGTATTAGTTGTAATAAAAATAGTTAAGAATATAAGCTACTTGACTTTTTCGTGAACAAAATTATTTTTTAAAAATAAACTATTTTTATGTATATTTTAATAGTATCTTAAGAAAGTATATATGAATTTAAACTTGATTTATTTAAAGTTAATACATATATACTTATTTCATTATCAAATAATATTATTACATATACGTTTCTAGTTATTTTACCAATGAAACCATCATATTGCAACAACTTAAAGCATTTATGATAAGACTGGATAATAACAAAAAGAATTGTTAAAATATAAATATTTATTTATTGACTTTTAACTACGAAAGAACAATTAGATAGCTTCATATTTTATGATGTGTTTCTTGTCTTTATTATATTACGTTCAATAAGACTTTGTAAGATTCTATATTGTTCAATTTATTTCGATTCAACTGTCCGTCTCAGCTTCATGACACAATGAGTAAATAATAAAGTAAATGATTGAATGACTAAGAACATCAGAATGTTTAGAATGACCAAATGTAGTATCGAAGTACCAAAATTGATTAAGATATTTAAAGTAATAGCTTCAAAGATGATATAAGATTGAATGTCGTACTTTAAGAATATATTTTTTACACTATACTGTCTTCTTAATGTATATTAGATTATTAATTTTGTGCAAAATTACTTTTTTTTATAAAATGTGAATCAACTTTTCATACGAATTAAGTTAAAATTATGAAATAGTACGTATTGCAAATTCTTGTTTATCTAATTAACCTGGCGGCATTAATTTCATTTAAATAATATGTTAATTTTGCTGTAAAATAGGTTTACATAGACATTGTAACATCTATATATTAACATAACATTTAATTTTTTTTACAATAATAAAAATTTAACATTTAAATCCAACCGTGCTTAGGTAAAATAAAAACATTTTTTATTTACAAATTACAATATTTTTTATCACGAATTTAATAAATTAGTAATTTAATCTATTTCATTATAAAAGTATATATATTATTAATGATTACTTAAATTATTAATTATTTTAAATTATTATTATTAATTATTACATAAAATTAATTATTACTATAATTATCTGTTGGTACTAAAAGAGAAAAGTTTTATTTTAATTTTTTAAATATTAACATTATATGAATAAATTTATTTGTTATTGTTTAAAAAGTTATATATATATATATATATATTTATATATATATAAGTGTATATTAAAATACAATAAAAGATATTTTTTTAAAGTCATAATATACATTTGCATCATTAATTAAAGAATAGTTATTTTATTTCTTTTTAAATTTTTTTCCAATTTCATTTATTTTCAAATAAAATTACGCAATAAATGAAGCATTAAAAAAAATATAAATACGTAAAAACAATATAAATATCTATAAATATATGAAAAGCTGCATTTATTGAGTGGGTTTGATATTTGTGAAAACGATCTCTAGTATATATATATTTACAAGAATGAAAATAAAAAAAACAATATCTCAAACATTATTAAGAATCATTAAAAAGTATAAAAATTATTTAAAATTAAAACAGTATAAATAACTATAAAAATACTTTCATTCGTTATAAATACAAAGTTAGTAAAATACACGGTACATATTAAATGTAAAATGTTATGACATAATTTAAAATCGAATATAATATATACATTTAAAAAAAATAGTATATGTAAATTTTATTAAATTAAATATTTAAATAGTGTTAAAAATCATTTATGTATAATATTTTATAAAATTTCTATAAAATATTTAACATTGATTTAATATTATAAAAAATATATCATATACTAATTTTCATTTTGATACAATCAAGATTGACAGAATAATCAATTTATTATTGAAATATAACAAATATAATAAATTTCTATCTTATAAGGCTTTTCATTTATTTATAATAGATTCAATGTTGAGATTAGTTACATACATCTCTTAGCTGTAATTGAAAAACAGATTTTCATAAAGCAAGATTTTGTAAAAACCAATATTTTCGTTTTCTCATGTAATAATCAAATTCACTAAAATATTGATTTATTGCTTAAAGTTTTTATAACAATTTATTTGATATTTAGAACAATTCAAAAGTCTCTGCACTGTTACTATACCAATGTAAAAGAAAAATATGGTTTCAAAAAAAAGAATAAAAGTGTGAAGATTTTCAAAGTACTCTTAATATAATATGATACAAATGATCTATTTCATATTTGAAAATAAAAAAAATGGAAATAGAAAAGTCGAAATTTAAAAGTAGCCCCAATATTCTTTAGTAATGAAAACTTAAAGAGTTTGACCTTTTCTTTTTGTATGCATCTTGGATTAATCTCGAATTTCTAAAATTTATGAAAAATCAAAATATTATTCGATCTGAAATGGTTTATATTTGTTTTTGGAATTATGTTTTTTGTAAATTAAAATTCTAATTAAAAGTTTTTTATTTTTTGTATTATAGCTATATAATAACGATTCATGTGTATATACAAAAATATTATAAATAAAACTTACTAGTCTTGTAATTCGAATAATTAAGTCTTTAATTATAAATATCATATTTCTAATACAAATGAATTATCAGATTACTAATACACTCTTTTCACTCAGCTATTTTGAAATTAATGTTTTGTAATTAATCTACTGCCATTTTAATTCTAAATTATTAATTTGATCTATGGATAATCGTATCAACTATGTATTTTTAAATTACCACTAAGATTTCTATTAAAATTTTTAATTCTCAATTAATTTATACTTTAATAAAAATAATGTCTGATTTTGAACAATTTCTATTTTTATTTTTACATTTAATACATACATTTGTTTTACATTTTTTACAAAATTTAATTTTTGTAATGTATTTTTCGTAAGATGAATGTATCTAGATTATATAATACATAAATTAAATATAAATGATATATAGATGATTAAAATAAAAAGATGAAACAAAATAAGAGTTATTTTTTAAGTTATACATTATAAATTAATTTGTCTAATCTAATAAATTTTATTTTTACTTTATTATAATATATTGATAAATTGTGTAGTAATTTTTCATATTATTAAGTTATACATAATAATTTAGTAAACTATAATTATATAAATATTAGTTAAAAATAATTACAATTGTATTATATAATTCAAGTATGCAACAGTACCAATACGGACAGAAAATAATTATAGCTTAATCTTTAATAACAGAATTTTTATTTGAAAATTTCAAAATAACAGAATAACATTAATTCCAATAAAAATGTTGTATTTTTTATTTCACATGTATTAGTTTCTGCTGTATTGTAATTATTACTTATTGTAAACTTCAAGACGATAAGGTTAAAGTTTATCGCCAATTAATGACCAAATACTGATGCGGCGAGATGCGAAAATAATGACAGATAGGCATATACTGCACGAGCGCATGACATTTTTTTCTTTACTGGTTTTATTATCAATACATACTTTATATAACATTAAAATTATGAAAGTTTAAAAACAGTTACATTCAATTGTTTTCTAACTATTATATAAACTTAAGAAAGTTATACTGATTTGAAGAAATGCATATCTTAAATATTAGATATGAACATTATAAATAAGTGAAAAAATTAATAAACTTTCCTTATTTTCTATTTATTATAATTATAAACAAGCACTGAGATCATTTTAAACAAGACAATGTTGAAAACTTTTTAAATGAAATTTTTATAATATGATTGCTAATATTATGCTAATATTATGTGAAAATTTTTATTGAAATTTGAATTAAACGTTAATTAAATTCAAATTAATTGACAATATATGTATAATATTTTCATATGTATAATATTTATATATATATATACAAACTTTAAATAATCCATTATAATACAACTGATAGATAATAGAATAATATATTATATTTCAAACCTTTATTAATAATAATCTTAGATA